GATTATTTTACCCTTTAAAATTCCTGTCCAATGGTTTATCTTGAAGCGATATTGAGATTTATCTTCTCTCATCAAATGTGGGTTTGCTACGTGCCACTCGTGTAAGTTATGCAGGTTCATGTACCCATCTTTCTTAAATGTGGTCTCATCTGACCATAAAAATTTTTCAAAGAACCGTGGATCTTCCCTGTGTCTTTCTAACATTGTGCGACAAAAAGCAACTCGGGGCTCATAATCCCGGGGCAGAAGAGCTTGAACACGCTGTACGTGGTATGGATCATCTTTCGATTCTTTTTTTTGCCAAACTGAATAAAATTGGCAACACATCTCACATGTAAAGGAGACATTTCATGTCCGTTCTTTAGAACCCTAAAACTACTTAGTCATAAAATATTTATTTTTAACTGTTACCAATGGTAACAATGGTTACATGGACGCTTCGCCACTGGTCTCTGCCTCAATATGAGGACAAAGTTGCTGTGAACAAGGTCACATATAAGGAAACTCTACCCACTACTAAAGCAGTTCTGAGTACTATTAATGAGTTAATACGGAATCTTGAAAATGTAATGTCCATGTTTGTATACTACTTTGATAAATTATTGACAAGATGTGCAGCTTAATTTACCTAATATGACTGCTTCGTTTCCGTGAAACTGTTTACTGCTTAGCTCTTGTATCTTATATTAGTCTAATACATCAATTAATAATCTTGACGCATTTTTTACTTACCTGAAGGAAGTGGACGCATAAGTAAGCTGTTTTGAAATATTGGACGGACATTTCATCCAGTGTGAATGAATGGATTAAATGAATATTAGAGGCATTCCAGAAACCAAGAGGAGACAGCGTTACTTGAAGATGTTGAGTAAAGCCTTCAGCCCCAGCTCCTTGTCATTATGGGGATCCCAGAGGCTCGTAGCCACATTAATGTTTTTTTCGCGAGATCCGTTTGTGAATGAAACGTGGTCAGAGGGAATTTCTCCCTCCTCTCGAAGTTTTTACAGTTTCACGCTACACCGGGAGTGGCAAGATGGCGCGTGTTGCGCAAAATGTTTGCTTTAACCTCCTTAATAAACTTAGCTGCCTTCTTTGTATCCGAAATAAAAAGACCGATCGTTTTTTGTGCAATGTATACGTGGAGTTAGGGAAATAATATTCGTAACTTTAAGATTCCTTGCATTATTCTAAGCAAAAAAGTTAAATATAACTTATGTCCGGAAATCAATCGTTTTCGAGGAAAGCGAGTCGTAAATAATTAAATTTCTCAAACATTTGGCAATGCTGCAATGCAACCGCGATACGAGCGTACAACGACCGCAACTGATTCATGATTATGTGTGTATGATATTTTTGTTGAAAATATGCCTTGAATTATTGAATACTTTTACGCAATATTTTTTATTTAATAACGCCTTCAGTACTTAAAAAAAATGACAGAACTTACCGGTACGTGGCGATACACACCACCAATTCTCACGATTATCAGTCACTTATTTGAAACGATGCGATGCACGAAAAAAGAAAAAAAAAACAACACCCGTAAAGCACATAAAGCTACAGTTAAATGTATTAGTAATCACAATACTCGTAGATATTCAAATGGGAACCTTGGGCATCTACGCAAGCTTGACACCGTCGAACCCAATTTTCTCTAAAAAATTCCAGGCATCTTACGTATTTCATTAGCGGCGGCTTGAATACGCTCCCTTAAATCATTCTCATCCCTTATTCCACCCAACTAACAATTATCACTCCTATTAGAGTTGCAAGAATGATTATACAGTATTCCTTAAACAGCATTGTATACTGTAAGAACATTGGCAAAACCCTCTTAGAACAGCTGTACAAGCGGAATGGGCACACCTAATAGGACACTTCAGTCATTTAACAGGTTAAATAAGGGCTGCAGGTAACAGTTATAAAACAAAAGTGTAAGCCTCTTGCAGCCGCTATAGGACATTTGCGTCAGTGCAAGATTCAGTTTTTGTCAACTATACAACTATTCTGTTACGTGATTCTACTTTATTGCAACCAAACTATTTCTTATGTATTGTATAGACGAAGTGAAGAATATATAACTAACACATTACAGTCATCTTGTTTATTTATATATCGGCCATTGTGAATTTCATACACAGGTATATGATAAACTTCTACACTGTGATATAGGGCTATTGAATTACTTGCGCAGCAAATTTTATTGTGATTATCGTGCAGATTAGTTACCCAATTTCTACGGGCTTCGTATTTGATTCATATTTTGACAATGATCAAAAGTATGACTAGATTTTTAAGATGGAAAACTGAACTTATCTGCGCTAAATCTTCCACAAATCCTATATTTAGACACAATTACACTAATGTTTATCAATTTATATCTGTAATTTCGAACTGAAACATAATTATTTAATATTAAATAGAGGAATAAATGTTTGCCCAATCTGCCGGGTGGTTGTATACAATCATGGCATCGTCCATGTTGTCTTTGGTTTATTAGAATATATTGGTGTTGCCTGCAGGTGTTATACAACAATTTGACAAATGTCTGAAATGAAATACCGACAGTGTCGAATGATTTACCCAGAATTTGTACCAGATCTATATCTTCTGCTTGAACAGTTGATAAAACCTTTTGAACCAATAAGCCTGCGTTGTTTGTCTTAAAACATTGATTATTTCATTTTACACAAATATAACAGCAGAAAGTTAGGTTATGGTGAAGTTGTTTACCAACATATTTAGCATATGTACAGCCTTAAACAGTTACTAAACAACAGTTGTATAAGTGCTTCCGTTGGGAGCAATTTGTTGGCTAAAGTAGTGAATTGCACAGTAAAACAACAAGGCTCGGGTTTGTTTTATAAACGTTACCATGGATGCCACAACACAACCATTTTGACTAACGTGCAAATATGCCGTATAAAATAGTTGTATAAACGTTTATGCAACAGTTAAAAATTTGCCCTATAAGGTGTTGTATAACTATGCTATAAGAATATTTTAAACACTTCATTTTAGAGCAAATATGTTGCAGAAAGCAAATCTGCATTCCACACAACATTAATCCAGCATTTTGGTGTTCAGGCAACAACAGTAGAGAGCTTTTATGGCTGAACGGTTCTTTTACCAAAAGCTTATACCACTACTTTGCTAGTTGGGCAGAGGCGTAAACTAAATTTTTCATGAATCCCCAAAAGAAAAAATCTAATGGATTGAGATCGGAGGATCTAACCGACCAGGCATTTGGACCATTTCTTCCTATCCACCTATTGCCTTAGTTATTATTGAGATGTTCCACAACTACTAGCGTGTGCTGGAGCACCATCATGCTAGGATCACATATTAATTCTTGTTTGCAATGGCACTTCGTCCAACAAAACGGGCAAATTGTCTCTTAGAAATGCTAAGTAGCTCTCACCGTGCAAGCGATGTGGCAAAAAATTGTCCTATTATTTGGTCACCAATTATTCCAGCCCACACATTAACAGAGAATAGATACTGCGATTTTTTCTGTGCAATTGCATGGGGATTTTCGTCCGCCCAATTATGAAAATTGTGAAAATTCCAAATTCTATTTCTTGTAAAACAAGACTCATCTGTTCGTTTTCTGTTCGCTACAAAATTGTGATTTCTTTGGTGTTTACCCAAAAACCAATTAGAAAAATTTGATCTTCGTGGAAAATCTTAAGGCGAAAGAGCTTGAACCCTCTGGACATGATACGGGTACAATAACTGTTCTTTAAAGGTCCGAAATTTGTTCTTCGGTTTCCTGTCCAACTTCACGAGGTCTTCCGCCATTGTTAAAATTAGGCACTACGCTCCCTGTATCCAGATGTCTTTGGGGTACTTCTACGAATGCTATTTTAGCTGGCAGCCTTTGATCAGAAAAACGTCCTTCGTAAATGCGCCTAGCCTCTTCAGAATTGCAATCAGCCTCTCCGTAAATAATAAGCATATCGTGATGCGAACCGAAAACATCTCACCCACTGATACAGTAATATATACGTATACTGAATAATAAAATGTGATTTCAATTCCGGTAAACATTACTTGCATTAACGTACGCAAGAAACTATCAAATAATTTTTTCCTAATGTAGGTATTTATTTTTTTGCCTACCGACACGATGTCGGTCGTGGACAACACGCAATGATACATGTAGTGCAGGCGGAGTACGACGTTGCCAGTTGTGTGAGGGATTTTGTTTGTTTTCTTCGGAAAATTGTATTTAATAAGTAAGAAAGTTATTTTGTTAGAAACAGTTAATTAGTAAATAGATGTATTGATTACGCTATTAGGCATATGAATTTAAATTATTAAGGGGCAAAATTAATTTATTTCATGACTAAAAAGAAATAAGTTCAGCATTTTTTGTTCCGAAACGGTTGATTTTCGGACATACAGGGTTTGTCCGGAAAGTAATAGGACTCATTTTCTTCCGCCATGACTGTACCTCGGAGTGTGCGCGCCCCGACTGGATTCGGTAGAGGGCGTTCCTAGCTAACGAATGAGCGGCTGGTCAGTTGTCTCCGAGCACTTGGAGAGTCAGGACAGGCATGTTCGCGCAACGTGCTTCTGTGAGTGGTGCAAGCCGAAAATGCAGCGTTCGTTAGAGCAGAGGTACGCGATTAAATTCTGTGTGAAACTCGATAAATCTGCGACAGAGACGTTTGATATGATCAAGCAGGCTTACCCAGGTGTTGCTTTAGCAAGAAGTGGTATGTTTCGGTGGCACCAGGCCTTTTTAGAGGGCCGGGAAGAGGTCGCTGATGAAGACCGTGCTGGAAGACCTTCGACTTCGACAAACACCGATAATGTGACTCGTGTGGGCAAAGTTTTGAACTCAGACTGTCGACTAAGTCTTCGTTTATTTGCCCAGATGTTAAATTTACCAAAATCTGTGGTTCATGACATTGTGACACAGCATTTGAACATGCGCAAGGTGTGCGCGAAGATGGTCCCAAAAGTGCTCACTGACGACCAGAAATTGCAGCGAGTGGAAGTGTGCCAAGAAAATTTGAACATGTGTGAAAGTGACCCCCAATTTTTGAATAACGTAATCACAGGTGACGAGTCGTGGATCTTTGAGTATGATCCCGAGACAAGGAGGCAATCTTCCGAGTGGCACACTACGGCGTCTCCTCGCCCAAAAAAGAGAAGAATGAGCAAATCCAAAGTGAAAACGATGCTCATTGTCCTTTTGACATCGTCCACCATGAATTTGTTCCTCCTGGACAAACCGTCAACGCCAAGTTTTACGTGGAAGTGCTCAGGAGACACAAACGAACGGTCAGTCGGGTCCGACAAGACATCGCAGCCGACTGGAAGTTGCACAACACACCGCCTTTCTTGTGAACAGCTACCTGACCAAGGCCGGCATCCCAACGCTTCCGCAGCCGCCCTACAGCCCAGATGTGGCCCCCCGGACTTTTTTTTGTTTCCTCGCCTGAAAAGGCCGATGAAAGGCAAGCATTTTGAGACGACATGGGGGATCCAAGCAGCACGCACCGCGGCTCTCAAGGCAATTCCGGAGAATGCCTTCCGTAATGCCTTCAATGCTTGGAAATCGCGCTGGCAGCGCTGTATCGACGCAGAAGGAGTCTATTGTGAAAGTTTTTAAAGAATTGTAACGATTGGCTCAACAATTTTTTTTAAATCGACTCAGTCCTATTACTTTCCGGACAAACCCTGTAGGTTATAATAAACTTTTTTGCTTAGAATAATGCAAAGAATCTTAAAGTTAAGAATATTATTTTCCTAACACATTGTCACCCGCGAGTACCTCGCCGTCCTTAGGCGGTTAACCGTACCACGTGATTTTCTGACATTTGGATGACGTCACATCCTACGTTCTTCGCGGAAATTTGAGTATCAGTTCCCGGTACTGCACTGTGCTACACCATGGACTCGCGAAAAAATACTTTCTGTTACTCAACAGACAAATGAAATAAAAAAGCCTATCTTTATACTACAAGCTTACTTATCCTACTTGCTAGCCTGTTATAATACGCTAAAGATCTACATGTGTCTATCGTACAGATATTGTCTAACCTACCAGAACTTTTGGAACAGACCTTAGACAATATGTCAATACAACGGAGACAGAATTTGTGGTTTCCTCATGACGGGGCACCACCACACATTTTTAGAGGCGTCATTCAGTATTTGAATGAACATTATCCAAATCGCTGGATCGGTCAGAATGCTCCTGATCCTCGAAAATGGCCAGCAAGACCTCCTGACCTCAATCCGATAAATTTCTGGTATTGCGGAGAACTTAAAGGGATGGTTTATGGGGCTGGTCCAATAACAACTGAAGCACAACTGCGCAAAAAAATGTTAATGCGGCTGAAATAATAAATGGACAATTTCGAGGACCTAGAGTAAGAAGACACTGGGTTCTTCGTAATGAAGCTTGTGCGGAGAGTGGAGGACGACATTTTGAACCCCTGCTTTGAATACAAAAAAAGTGCAGTGTGGGTTTTAAAAAGAAAAGCAATGTATGTATCAAAATTGTGTTCCCTATTTATAAGTGGATTTTTTTAATACGTTCAATAAACTTTCACACACCAGATGAAGCACTGAGACAGTTAGTGGTAAGTCCGTTCTTTTTAATTGTTTGCATTTTACGAGTACATTATCAAATTAATAATGAAATAATACCTAAGAGCCAAAAATAACAAACTCCATCTCTACTTACACTGCGTTCCGTCGTAATTTGCGTCTGGCATTGCGGCGTTGTCAGATTTTATTTTACTTTAAACTCGCTGATGTCTAAAAAAAATGCCGCTTTGACCTCCATGTTATATGAAACTTTTTGCTTCTTTTAACCCCTCTATCACCCATTTAAATAATGACTATCATAACGTTTACACTCTGTATAATATTCAACTCACTTGACTACCATGCGAAATAATTTTCTTTCCACATGTTTATATGATAATCTTTCTGGCTTTTATGTTCTTGTATCCGAATTGCATTTAGCAAAAAAGACTCTCGTAAAACAAACCACGAAAAGTTGATTTCTTCATAAATTTATGCATGCATTGTCACATGAATACCTTTATTAAAAATAAGAAAATTGCAAATATTCATCTTACAGGTAAATATCGCCCAGACACAGTGTTCCAACCATAGCGGGAATCGATGGTTGACATGTCCAAACATTATACGGCAACTCCAATGGGCAAATTTCAATTCTATTCTTATGCGTACATACTTTCATATTTGTCCATTTTCCCCCAATTTTGGCACTAGGATCATGTTCAACGATTAAAAGTGCATGGAAAAATATAGTGACGCATCTGGCACACATCATATTTTATTCTTTTTTGTAGACCTGTCGATAGTCTTAATGCGTTTTCTCTGAAATTTGTCCACTGATTCCCAATTTTGACTTCAGATTCGTATTACGGGTAAACAAATACTGGGTGGCCAATATATAACTGACTGATTTAAATTGCGCGCCATTTTGATACACGCATTTCAGTAGTAGTTGTTTAAAGCACATGTGCCCAATTCATCATGGAGCGCTACACTATCCTACAACGCGTCCGCATTGTTAAAACGTTTTACAAAAATTATGAGTCGATTGTTGAAACGATTCGGAAGCAACGACAAGATCTCTTAAAAAAAGACTTGCATTTGCTGCCATACAAAATTCAATTAACCCAAGAACTATTGCCAAGTGACAATGAAAGTCGTCGACAATACAGTCATGCAACATTGCACCTAAAATACCTATTTTTATCGACAACTGATAATGAGTGATGGAGCCAACTTTGATATTAACGGATTTGTTAATAAGCGGAATTGTCATATCTTGGCATTAGAGAACCCTCGTGTCTTCCATCCACGACCACTACATCCTCGTCGAGTAACAGTTTGGTGCGGTGTTTGGTATGGAGGTGTCATTGGCGAGCGCTACCGTGATATGGTGCAAAACCTTCTGCTTCCCCAAATCCAACAATTTAACCAGCAAAACGAAACAACTTGTCAAACAGCTAGGGAGTCAACGAATCTTTTGCGAACAATACTTCCAGGACCTTTAATATCTCGATTTGGTGATGTCAACTGGTCACCAAGGTCACCGGATTTAAAGGACCTCAACTTTTTTATGGGGATTTTTGAAATATAGGGTTTATGCCAAGAAACCAAATACTGTAGAGCAGCTGAAGATCAATATTATGGAAGCGATTGGAAATATTCCTCCCGAAACCTTCCAAAAAGTGATGGAAAATATAATCAAGAGGGCTCAAGTTTGCGTGGCTTCTAGAGGCGGACATTTGTCTGATATTATTTTTGTTATATAATTTCTAAGTTTCAATAAAAGATTAAGATGAAAAAAATGGACGTATCTTATTTCATTTCACAAATATTCAAGATACAAACCAGTTAGTTACATATCGGCCGCCCTGTACATGGAAAAAAGCATAGTCGGACTTTTTTATTTTCTGATTTGCGAGTCTGTGTTAATTTGGAGTACGCTGTTACATAACAGCTAGTCTCAAGTTCAAAAATGTGTATGATTACAAAAGCCAACCAACTGCGCATCAAACTACCCAGCACAAGCTACTTTGCTATACTCAAACACCGTAAGCGCAACGCGCAAAAGTGGCTAGAGAGCGACTGCCGAGTCAGTTAAAATGAAGCTGATAATAACCTTCAGCGTAGATTGTAGACATAAAATTCATTTCAGGTTCTCAATGATCAAATATTTTAGTCTGAACTAAGTAGCGGCAAAGCGCGCTGCTAGCCGCGGTTCTCTCTTTCTCCTGTGCAGTCGAACGCGCGCGATCTCTAAGCTGCCTCTCATTCCTATAATTCCGCGTAATTGGTGAACCCATTGGATATTCTGCCTGCCTCTACTCTTCTCCTTCTGTGCATCTAGTCTTTGATATAAGCAGTGGACGTCTTGTCGAGACTGTGATTTGTTTTTGAAATCGTGGAATGTTGTTTACGTTGGTTTCTGTGCGTACTGGATACACTACACTAGCGGACTAGTGCAACTTGGATGCGATCTGGCTCAGAAGAAGTTTGAGGTAAATCTATAATGCCAACTATTTAGAAGTCGCACTCATTTAGTGATTCATTTATTGTCCTCTGAAGCTCCTCGAAACATCTAGTTAGTTACTTGCCTCATCGGCCATTGGAATCTCTGCGACAAATTCGTCAATATTACCTAATTTCCTTGATTTGCCAAGATAACTACTACTTTGAAATAAAGCCATATCTAAGCTTTACATCAGTATGTAAATGATGTGAACATCGAGGTCACAGTGGCTGATCTGATCGGTGATCACTGTCACAGCTTCTGTGCTTTGAGCTTATTTAGATACAAGAGCATTTTGATAACATCTCTACAGTATGTTTGAGACCGCGGTCTTGGATGCCTTTCAGAAAGATAGTGGCCCAACTATCCAGGTATTCAGAAGTCGCACTCATTGATTGTCACATTTATTGCATTTTCAATCTGTACAAAAGCACTAGTTAATTGTCTCATCAACCATTGAAATCTCCAAGCAGCATTATCAAAAGCTCGTCTCACCTACCAAAGAAATATCTAAACTGCACAATCAAAGATAATTTATCTCATCAATAATAACACGTCTTTCCTTTGATACACTAAAAAGTTGTTAGTGCTTTGAGATAAAGATATACCATAAACTTTAGAGAAGAAGGGTATCTGACACATAAATATTTAAATGATTTGAACAGCGAAGTTAAGGTTACTGATCTGATCGATCAATGAAATATCCATAAATGTCACATCTTAAAGCTTGTTGACAGCTTTTCTATAGCATATTTTTTCGACCGCGGTTTTGGAAGCAATATGGAAAAACCGATTTAGAAACCGATATATGTGAGATAGGACTTCATTTAATCTGAATGTGCAGAAAACTGTATCATACATTATGAATTATTTAGATTGTGCAGTAAGAGTAAGGTTGCTTGTCTGATAACTGAATTCCTCATCTGTTTATTTTTTTGATGATTTGGGCTCCTTTAGAAATACGAGCTC